TGTCTGTGTGTGTGCGCGCGCGTGTGTCTGTGTATGTGTGCGTGTGTCTGTGTGTGTTTGCGTGTGTCTGTGTGTGTGTGCGTGTGTCTGTGTGTGTGTGCGTGTGTCTGTGTGTGTGTGCGTGTGTCTGCGTGTGTGTCTGTGTGTCTGTGTTGGTGCGTGTGTCTGTGTGTGTGTGTGCGTGTGTCTGTGTATGTGCGCGTGTGTCTGTGTATGTGTGCGTGTGTCTGTGTGTGTGCGCGCGCGTGTGTCTGTGTATGTGTGCGTGTGTCAGTGTGTGTGTGCGCGTGTGGGGAGCGGTGGTGTAGCGGTTAGCGCGCTGCGCTACGAACCCGGCCACCCGGGTTCGATTCCCGGTCACGGCCAAGACCCAGTGACGATTATCTGAACCGGTCCTGGGCCTCCCCTAGGTTGACTCAGCCTCAAATAAGTACCTGGTGCGATGTGTAAACATCGCCGCTAGGGAAACAAAGGTGGCCGGGTGTGGTGTTGGCCACCCACCCCCTCGTGTACAGTTCCGGCTTTCATAGGTGCTCGCTAACAGCACTTGCCCCTACAGTCTGTTAAGGCTATATGGGGGATCTTTGTTTTGTGTGCGTGTGGGGAACGGTAGTGTAGCGGTTAGCGCGCTGCGCTACTAACTCGGCAACCCGAGTGCGATTCCCGCTCGGCCCTGGGCCTCCCCTAGGTCGACTCAGCCTCAAATGAGTACCCGGTGCGGTGCGTAAAACATCGCCACTGGGGAGACAAAGACGGCCCGGAATGGTGTTAGTCACCCACACCCTCGTGTGCCGTGCCGGCCTCGCTAACAGCACTTGCCACAACAGTCTGTTAAGGCTATACGGGGGATCTTTGTCTGTGTTCCGACTATGTGTGTGTGTGTGTGTTCTGGTGGGGAGCGGTAGCGCAACGGTTCGATCCCGGTGGCGACCCGAATTCGATTCCGGCTCACGGCCAACACCGGTGACGATTATCTGAACCGGTCCTGGGACTCTCCTCGGTCGAAAGTGAATGGCTCTTTTGATTATTTTGGTTGCCGACCCCTGCCTTGCATTGCCAGTATCAAGGTCCAAAAAAATAACCCGTAAAAACAAAGTTTTTCACTATAAATCCTTTATATGCGTGGCGGCTAGAGTCCTCTCGTTCTCTGGCTTGAGATGGCTGCCACCTATGGGTCAGATGATTGTCTGCCAGCATTAAGCAATTGGCAATTAAATATTTTAAAAAAATTCTCTAAACAGTGTAAAATTTTGGAAAAAAAATTTCACGAAAATTAATTGTCACGCACAACGAGTCTGTGTGGAAAATGTCAGCTCGATTGGATCACGGGAAGTGGGTTAAAAAACGACTGAAAGATATGCACGTACGTAAGCGCGCAAGCCGGCAAGCGAACTTTATATAAAGGATTTAAAAATGACTTAAATTGGGTGAACGCCACAAAACAGCGTAGCCCCACGACCGTCAGCACCCCACCCCCGCACCACATGCAGAGGCGACTGGTCTGTGAAACATAGCCCCTCCTCCTTTACGGTAGCCTTGTGTTGCAAGCACGGCACGAATAGCAAATCTACTGAAGTATTATTATTGACGAGCGATCGAGGAAGATTTGAACTCGACTCTGAGAGTTCACATTCCGACACGCTACCTGAAAATGACAACAACAACAACAATGAGAATATCAATAATAAAATAACACCGGTATAACCCCTACAACAACAACAACACAAAACCACTCGCCATAAACCAAAAACACAAAAGAGAAGAAACTAATCTACCGCTCTTCCTCGAGCGACGTGAAGCGGTTTGTGTCCTCCGTGATACATTGCGCCGGCAAGGGCATAAATACAGGGGCAGGAATGCCGTGATTTCCTCCCGACATAGCGGCAGTAGCAGCAGCAGCGGCATCACTCCCACACACCATTTCTCTTCTCTCTCGCTCGCGCGATGGATGTTCTCATGCGGGAAAGAAGAAAAAAAATCACGAGCACACTCCGCTCATCTGACTTCAATTTTTTGGGGAGACACGGCTCCATCGCAGGAACGCAACGGCACAAGCCATCTCCACGGCAGCGGCTGTTCTGCCAAATTTTTGCGCAGTCGGCTCCACATTTTTTACTACCGTGTGAGTGGTTTTTTTTTCTCCGGCGCGTTCTCTGGGCTGTTGCCGCGTGTTTTGTTCGGCACACGATGTCCGACGTTTTTCCGCACTTGCCGGGAGATGTTAACTACCTCGCTTGGTATACAGGAGGTCGTGGGTGTGATCCCGACCCTGACGCCTGTTGTATATTTGGAGTTTGCGTGTCTCTCTCTCTCATCATCATCATCACAGTGGCTGGGAGATGTTAACTACCTCGCTCGGTATACAGGAGGTCGTGGGTGTGATCCCGACCCTGACGCCTGTTGTATATTTGGAGTTTGCGTGTCTCTCTCTCTCTCATCATCATCATCATCACAGTGGCTGGGAGATGTTAACTACCTCGCTCGGTATACAGGAGGTCGTGGGTGTGATCCCGACCCTGACGCCTGTTGTATATTTGGAGTTTGCGTGTCTCTCTCTCATCATCATCATCATCACAGTGGCTGGGAGATGTTAACTACCTCGCTCGGTATACAGGAGGTCGTGGGTGTGATCCCGACCCTGACGTCTGCTGCTGCTATATATTTGGAGTTTGCGTGTCTCTGTCTCATCATCATCATCACGGTGGCTGGGAGATGTTAACTACCTCGCTCGGTATACAGGAGGTCGTGGGTGTGATTCCGACCCTGACGCCTGCTGCTGTATATTTGGAGTTTGCGTGTCTCTCTCTCATCATCATCACAGTGGCTGGGAGATGTTAACTGCCTCGCTCGGTATACAGGAGGTTGTGGGTGTGATCCCGACCCCGACGCCGCCTTTATATTTGGAGTTTGCACGTTCTCCCGTTGTCGCGTGGATTTTTCTCTGGGTCCTCCGGGTTTTCCCCTCCACATTTAGACACAAAGACACGCGTTTAGAGTATGTCACTGCTTTAAATTTTCATGTAATCACAAGCCACTTCGTTGAGCTATCATTTGAGGCCAGGTCGCTTCTGAAAACGAGCTTTGTACGAGCACGTGGGGCGAAACCTCCGGACGTCGTGCCGAAGAACACGTGGCACGACCTGCACCGCAGAGCCGTATTCAGCTCCACTTCGGTTTGGTTTCCCTCCTCAAGAAACTCGCACTCGATGGTTCCACCTTTGAGTGACCCACCAACTCCACATCACCATGGCTATTCGGGCTTGCAGGCACGGTGCATCATCATCATCATGGACATCGGGTGGTCAACCGAGGAAATGTTGGTTGCTGTGCATAGCCGGGAATGCTAACTATGGCAGAATCACGCTTCACATGCCCGACATGGTCAGATCTCAGAGGCTAAAGAGGTTTGTTGTTGGTCAGTGCTCGGAATTGGAGCCCACGAAGGACTGCCACGTGTTGTAGCCGTACCACTGTGAGGTGCCAATAGTTCAAGTTCAAGTTCATTGATTAGGTATAGCCCTAAATTTTGATTTAAAGCTTTCGTGACTGCAGGGAATCATATTATTGGTTCTTTCGGTAAAGTCACGTAGAAGGGAAATAATAAAATTAATAATATTATTATTTCCCTTCTACGTGACTACCGAAAGAACCAAAAATAGGTATTGCCCTGTGAGCCATGCGGCTCTTAAGTCGGGTGCAACCGCAACAAACAAAATATGAACACAGAACATCCCAAAGCGACGACGCGTAACAGAAACATCCTGGAATAAACCAGCAATTTTTTTTTATGTCAGCAGAGCGATGGGTTCCGGCCACAGATGCATTTGGTTCGCTCGCTGGATTGAATTTGTGCGTAGCTTTGAGCGTCAATCCCTCGTACGCGTGATGGATTTTCTCCGAGTTCTCCAGTTTCCTCCCACAAGAAGCCACTCATTATAAATTGCACTGACCAAGAGTCCCGATGTAGCAGTACTCTCCTGCGAATGAGTCGTTAGATTAATCGATGTTTTGCTGGGTAAACGATTCACATTATTATCATCATCGTAGTGACCGAAAAAATATTGGCACGCACTTTTTGTACTTTCGATTTAAAAAGTTGAGCGGTTGGCGCGCTGAGATACGAACCCAGCGACCCGAGTCTGATTCCCGCTCACGGCCAACACCAGTGACGATTATCTGAACCGGTCCTGGGCCTCCACCTAGGTCGACTCGGTCTCAAATGAGTACCTGGTGTGATGTGTAAACATCGTCACTGGGGCGACAAAGGCGGCCGGGCATGGTGTTAGCTACCCACCCCCTTTGTGTGCTGTGCCGGCCTTCATAGGTGCTCGCACTTGCCCCAGCAGTCTGTTCAGGCTATACGGGGGATCTTAGAGATGCATAGTAGTGCTGTTGTTTTTAAAGACGTTGTACTCACCGCAGAGAACCGTCGCTACACGACCGCACACTGTGATAGCTGGCGCCAAACTGTGCCACACGCCCTCCCGCAAGTCCTTGTGTGGAGCCTCGGTACAAATAAAGATATTTTATTTTAGTCTTTCCTCCGATTCCGTTCCGATGACGTACACGTATCGTCAGTGGAACTGGAAAAAGTTAATGCGTAGGCTCTCACGACCAATATTATTCACGATAAAGTGTTCTTGGATAGATCACGTGAATGACAAGGTGAATGCAGCACCGGCCTGCAAGTGGTTCGAGGTCAATGTTGTGATTGGTTTTCATATTAAATAATTGAAGTATCTCACCACCCACGCCCACCACCACCACCACCGTCACCACCACTGCCAGAACTACCACCACTATCAAGCTCATCATCGCTACCACCATCACCACCACGCCCACCACCACCAGCACTACCACCACTACGACCGCGACCATTACCACCACCGCCGCCACCACCACGCTCACGACTGCCACCAGCACCACCGCCACCACCATCACTGCCACCATCACCAGCGCCCACGCTGACCGCCACCACTACCTTCCCTGCCACCACTCACCATGCACCTGTTGGGCTTCTCCCCGGAGTGCACGCGCATGTGGATGAGCAGCTTGTACCGCGCGTTGAACGGGCGCCGGCGCCGCCCGCACGCCTCCCACTGGCACGCAAACTCCTCCCCGCGCTGCGGCTCCACGTGGCTCTTCTCGATGTGGCGGCACAACTGCTCGCGCCGCCCGAACGCCGCCCGGCACTCCTCCCACCGGCATGCCTCGCCGCCGCCGGTTGCACCGCCGCCGCTGATTGCCGGGTCCCCCGAGTCACACGCCGCCGGGAAGCCGCCAGTCCCCGCTGCGGTGGCCGCCGAGGAGGAGGAGGAGAGGCTCTGGCACGCCGGGAACGGTGGCGCCGGTCGCTGGCGCTCGGCGCCAAAATAGCCAGCGCCTTCGCCGTGAGACGCAGCGCAAAGCCAGGACGGCACGGACGGGCGGAGCGGCTCACGCTGCTCTCCAAGGTGCCGCCGCTGATTCTGCTGGTGCTGCTGAAGGCTCTGGTGGAGGTGATGCTGCTGGTGCTGCTGAAGGCTCTGACGGAGGTGATGCTGCTGGTGCTGCTCTCCAAGCTGCTGGTGCTGCTGAAGGCTCTGGTGGAGGTGTTGCTGCTGGTGACGATTCTCAGGTGTCCTCCCTTCAAGCAGGGCACGGCCCTGACCGTGGACGGGCGGGAGGAGCACCGACGCCATGGCTCGACCCTCGCCGCCGTGGAACTCCGCGGAGGCGGACAGGAACCCAGCACCGGTGGCGGCGGCGGTGGTGGCGGCAGCACCGCCGGGGGCCGTCGTAGCCGCGCCCGCGTGCCGGCACGCCGAGTGGCGGCAGCAGCAGGAGGCCGGCGACGGCGTCGTCATCCCCGAGGCGCCGGCGGTGGCAAAGGAGCACGGGCGGAGCTGGGCGGTGCGACAGCTCAGGGTGGAGACACTGCACTCTCCGGAACAACAAGCTGGTGCTGCTGCTGATGGCGGCGGCGGTGGTGGTGGTGCCACTGCAGTGGTGAAGCTGAGAAGCACAGAGTGGGCATGGTTAGCGTGCGTGTGTGTGTGTGGAGCCTATGTAGGACTATTATCGGAATCACAATATTTATTTAGGATGGAAGAATCCGATGAGCTATGAAGATCTTTTTTCACAGATATCCAGAAAGGGGAGGTCAGAAATTTACAACAATGAACAATACAAAACCCGATAGGAGTGCAAAGTATAGTAAAATCCAGCATAAATACAAATCGATATATCTGCTAGACTATGGGTGTCCGGTGACATAGTGAGGTTGGTGTGCGCCCTGGAGCGAGTCGTCCCCCCGCTCACCTTTCTGTTTAATTTCCACAACTTTGTTGTGGCCAGGAACATGCCCCTCAACCCCAACCCTCTGTCACGTGGCTCTGGTGCAGTAGCACGTGGTGAAGCTGCGTTGGGCCTGTTCGGTCTGGCAGGACTACCGGAGTTAAACCACGAATTGACTAGACTGGAGACAGCCCTGCCTAACCCACCCCTCTCATCTTTCTCAGATTCCCTCCACGCACTCTCCTACCTCTCCCCTCTCATCTCACCGTGCACTCTCCTACCTCTCCCCTCTTATTTCACTCTACTCGCCTCGACACAATCGCCCCTCTCATCTTTCTCGAATTCCCTCCACGCACTCTCCTACCTCTTCCCTCTCATCTCACCACGCGCTTTCCTACCTCTCCCCTCTTATCTCACTCCACTCCCCTCCACGCACTCTCTTACCCCCTCTCATCTCACTCTACTCCCCTCCACGCACTCTCCTACCTCTTCCCTCTCATCTCACTCTACTCCCCTCCACGCACTCTCCTACCTCTCCCCTCTCATCTCACTCTACTCCCCTCCACGAAATCTCCTACCTCGCACCCCCAGTCAACCTCTGCCTCAGTAGGAGGTCACTCCTTCTCCACAATTCGCCCCCCTGGTCTGGAATTCCCTCCCCCTGGACATCAGTTCAAGATCCATCTCCTATTTAAGTCCAGGCTCAAGATCTTCCTCTCCTCCTTCATCCACGGGACCATGGCGTATTTTGTTTCACCTTTGAGTTGAGTTTCACGGATAAGGATTTGCATATTTTGCCCCAGCAAGACCAAACGCCTTGACATCACACTCCATCGTATTGGTTCTTTCGGTAAAGTGACGTAGAAGGGAAATAATAAAATAAAAAAAACATAATAAAATAATTCTCACGACGTTTCGGCCACAGAATTCTCTCATTCAGACGCTGTCTTCCCAACAGACCTGTTCTTCACCTGAGGACGGCTGCTTGCGTTGTGGCCGAAACGTCGTGAGAATTATTTTATTATGTTTTATTTTTATTATTTTATTATTTCCATTCTACGTGACTTTACCGAAAGAACCAAGAAGATGAATCCCTGCAGTCACGAAAACTTTAAATCGAAATCACACTCCATCTCAACAATTACAATGGCCAGCTGCAGTCCAGCCAAGGGGATCCCCCCCGGCAGAAGCTGTCCCTGTCCGGCACGAGGCAGCACCGACCCTTATTTCGTTGCATGCTGCGGGTCATCCAGAACACACCGTATTTACAACGTTAAATTTCGATTTAAAGCTTTCGTGACTGCAGGGATTCATCTTCTTGGTTCTTTCGGTAAAGTCACGTAGAAGGGAAATAATAAAATAATAAAAATTAAACATAATAAAATACAATTCTCACGACGTTTCGGCCACAACGCAAGCAGCCATCCTCAGGTTAAGAACAGGTCTGTCGGAAAGACAGGGGAGGAAGGGCGCCTTGACAAATGAATTTGCATATCAACAGAGAAATTTAGCATATTTATGGAAAATGCAGATATGGGATTAGTCACTACTTGTGGAATGCGTAGGAGGGGGGGGGGGTCTCAAAGTCATATTATGCCCGTGCACTATGTAGGATTAGCAGCAACAAAGGGAGGAGGTAGGGTTAGCAGTAATACAGGGAAGGAATTCCGACAGACCTGTTCTTCACCTGAGGACGGCTGCTTGCGTTGTGGCCGAAACGTCGTGAGAATTGTATTTTATTATGTTTTATTATTTTATGATGTCCCTTCTACGTGACTTTACCGAAAGAACCAAGAAGATATTACAACATCATCACGACGCAATGCCCCGATCCACACGTACGAAGGAGGCATCATCGCGGTGATACACAACTCCGCTGGCTCCTGACGCGGTTGTCCGGCTTGACCGCCTGAATGTGAAATTGCGGTCATCGCTCCGTATCTAACATCGGCAGCCATAGGGAGAGAAAAGATGTTTCATCATGGGACCTCCTTTGCCAGTACCAAAATATTCTAATAGGGGTTTTCCCCTTTTTTTGGCAACAAAACTGACACCTTTTGCGCCTTTTGGCGTCATCTGGTCGAACACCATATGACACTAGGCTCAAAAGAAAGCTGTCTCTGGTGTGGACCAATCAGTTTCAAAGACAATGCATAAATGATCAGAGTATTGTTTTTTGTTTGCATTTGACTGCACGTATTGTGGTTAATGTGAAGTATTGGAATTGACGGCAGGAACTTCTTGACGGGTAACACACTTTTATTAAATCTTTACGTTCACAATACAACGTGTGGTCTCCTTTCTTCCGACTACACACTCCACTTAACTCGTGTAGACTCTATGGTTCTGACTACACCCAATACACTTGACTCGTGTAGACCCTATGCCTCTGGCTACACACAATACACTTGACTCGTGTAGACCCTATGCCTCTGGCTACACACAATACACTTGACTCGTGTAGACCCTATGCCTCTGGCTACACACAATACATTCGGCTCGTGTAGACTCTATGCCTCTGGCTACACACACTACACTCGCCTCTGGGTTACACAGAGTCCCGGTCCCGTTAGGACAGCGGGACTAGGTACCGCAGGGCCCTAGGTCTTCATCCCCGTCTTCATTCTTCGCTGGTTACATACTGCCCTTACGCCTGTGTGCATCCCCTTTTATAGCCCCTGCTCACGAGAGACGGAGCTGATCCGGACGTCGACGTGAGCATCGTTCCCTAGTGAACCAATCACGACGCACTCTCTCTACGATCCGTTTTCCCAGCGCGTGTTAACACTCCTCTACCAATCACACCGCGCTGCCACCCGATCACTCCCTCTCAGCGCGTCACGGGCCCACAGCCAATCAGTACCCCGTAACCCACGACCCCGCGCTGACCCCTGATCCTCCACCGTCAGCGCGCGTCACCACCTACACAGCCAATCATTACGCGCTGGCATACGATCCCTAATCCCAGCGCGTATCACCTCTACATCACCCCCTCCCACATAGCTTGCAGCCGGCCCGGCTGTTAACCAACAACACAACCTAACGTCAACGCAGTAATAAAGAAACTCCACCTCCCAGTGTGCCCCGTAACGCAACAACAACAACACAACACAACACTTAAATATGAAGCAATATACAGCCCGACGAACAACACAATAAGAGCGAACACCCGAAAACGAACGCGCCACGTGTCTCTGTGACTAAACGCAGTGCCGAGGCGCTCCGTCTGCCACGACTCCTCACATGGTAGGTCACACAAAGTAGCGCGACCTAGCGCGAGTCCGTCTGGCCGGTCCGTCGTATGGGACGGGACGCTGGCATACGTCCGGTGGCTCCGGCAGCTCTAGACGGCGCGGATCGGGCCTGGAAGGACCGGCCCCGCCGCGAAGATCCGGCCGCCGGTGGTCGGCAGCTGTCAGTTCCGAGACACCTGGGAGCGGATCAGGCGGAGACATGTGAGGAGCAGGCAAAGACAATTCCCCCTCAGGGTCGTCGGTCACGTCACATGCTCGGCCCTCACGACACAAGGGGAGGCCATATGGAGGCGAGAACGGTTTCAGTCGGGAGGGGTGGACGTACCAACGGCGTTTTCCCCATTTTATCTGAACGCACTGGGGGCGTGCAACCCGCACGACCTCCACGGGTCCCCGCCATGGCTTCAACAATTTAGGCGACGTAGCCAAAGGTGCCTGAGGGCAATGCAGCCAGGCCCTGTCACCTGGTTCCCAGTTGTGCACGGACACCTTCCGTGCACGCAACCGCTCGTTAGCAATTTGGCGAGCCCGCGAATTAAGCCGTGCGGCCTCCCTTGCCTCTGTCAGCTTGTGAATGTTACATTTAATATGCTCTGCCAATTTCGAATTAGTCCGTGGTGCGGGCAGACCCAGCTGCGTTTCCATGGGCGGGTCGGCTTCCCGACCGTACATCAGATAAAACGGGGAAAATCCCGTAGCTGCATGGGGGGCCATTCTATACGCGGCGAGGACCCCAGGAACCTGCAGGTCCCAATCAACATGTGCCTCACACACCTGCTGGCACAGCATAGAAGTCAATGTCCTGTTGAGCCTCTCAACCATCCCGTCCGTCTGCGGGTGGTACGGGGAGGTACGCACCTTCTTAGTACCCAACAGGTCGCACACCTCTTGCAGAAATTTACTCGAAAAATTTTTCCCTTGGTCGGTCAGCAAGCGTTCGGGAGCCCCCTTGTCCAGGACGTAGCCCTGGACAAAGGCGTCCGTCACAGCCGCCGCCGACTGGTTGGCGAGTGGCCACGCCATAGGCCACCGGGTAAAATATTCGACCCCCACCAACAGGTACTTATTACCCCTAGGCGTGACTGGAAAAGGCCCCAGAATATCGAGTGCAACGAGCTCGTTAGTGCGCGAGACCTGAATAGATTGCAGCGGTGGATTAGCTGCCACAGGCGGTGGTTTCCGTCTGGCGCACTCAACACAACCCTTCAGAATATTCACCACGTCACCCCCCATTCCCGGCCAATAATAGTCACGCTGAAGCAGGGCAAGCGTTTTGTTAACTCCCAAATGCAAGAGGCGTTCGTGTGCGGCCAAGACAACCTTCCCCCTCACAGCAGAAGGCACCACAATCGCGTGCCGCCGGGACAAACTGTCCCATCTCATTAACAGGCCCTGCTTAAGCACGTAGGAGCCAGTTCGTTCATGGTCACCTTCAGAACCCCCCGTCTTGCGGCGCAATGCTAGCAGGGAGCTGTCCGCCATTTGGAGACGGCCCCACTCAATCAACGACCGTGAGAGCAGCGAGTCCTGACCCCCTGGGGTAGCGGGAACATCCCCAATTGGTGTGCCCGCGGTCGCAACCAACTCCTCCATACCTTCCGTAACTGGCGGTTTACAGCGCGCCGATCCCGACAAGCACGCACATTTGTGACAAGGCAACAACCGCGACAGGGCATCGGCATTTGTGTGTCGCAACCCTTTACGGTATGTAGTCGTGAACTGATAGTCCTGGAGGACTTCCAACCACCGCGACAATTGGCCCGAGGGCTGGGCGACCCGCAATGAATACTGGAGCGCCGCGTGGTCCGTCCGGACCGTAAAATGACGACCATAGAGATATGGCCTGAATTGTTGTACGAAAAAAACAATGGCAAGCAGTTCGCGACGGGTGACGCAGTAGCGCTGCTCTGCCGGCGACAACACCCTGCTACCATAGGCGACCACTCGTTCGACCCCTCCAACGACTTGGGACAGCACTCCCCCAATGCCCGTGTTGCTAGCATCCGTGTCCAGCAAGAAGGGACTCGCAAAGTCCGGATAGCGCAAGGGTGGGGCCCTTACCAAGGCGTCCCGGAGGGAGCAGAATGCAGCCTCCTCCTCCGGTCCCCATCGGAACTTCACTCCTTTCGCCGTTAGAGCGTGCAAGGGTTTTGCAATGGTGGCGAAGTGCTCAACGAATCGGCGATAATATGATGCAAAACCGATGAAACTGCGCACGTCTGACACTGACGTGGGCGTCGGCCACGAACTGACACAGTCCGTCTTCGCAGGATCGGTAGAAATCCCCGAAGAGTCGACAATGTGACCCAAGTACCTCACGGATTTACGAAAAAGGTGGCATTTGGCCGGTTTAAACTTTAATTTAGCCGATCGCATTCGCAAGAACACCCCTCTCAATCGCTGGAGATGTTCTTCAAACGTTTTACCGAAAACAATGACATCGTCAAGGTAAATGAGGCACGTATCCCACTGCAAGCCCGACAAAACCAATTCCATAAGACGCTGAAACGTCGCAGGAGAGGAGTGAAGTCCCATGGGTAACCGGTTAAACTGAAACAGGCCCCCCGGAGTTCGAAATGCAGTCTTAGGCTTAGACTCTTCGTCGAGTGGCAACTGCCAGAATCCGGATAATAAATCAAGAGTCGAAAAGTATCGCGCACCAGACAATGCGTCGAGAGACTCGTCCATCCTGGGGAGCGGATACGCGTCGGCCACAGAGATCTTATTCAGGCGACGGAAATCGACGCAAAATCGCAGGGACCCGTCTTGCTTTTTAACAAGCACAATAGGTGCTCCCCAAGGACTGGAAGAAGGCGAAATAATGTCGGCTTCCAGCATATCGTTAACTGCCGACTGAACATGTTCCTTCTCAGCAGGACTCAATCGGAAGGGATTTAGCCTGACCGGTGCCGCATCGCCCGTTTCAATGTGGTGGCGTAGCAGGTCCGTGCACCCAATGTCATACTTATGTTTACTGAAGACATCCGAAAATTCAATCAGCAACCCGCGCAGCGCACTCAACTGTACCACTGACAAATCGTCAGAGTCCGCGCACAGCGAATCAACCCATTCGAGGTCCTCCTTCAATGTTACGTTTTTCGTGGGGCTCGGATCAGCCTGCGCAACCAGCCTCTCCTCCGCAGGGACCCGCGCCGCGTGAGCTAGCACGGTGCCCTGCTGAATGACGGCCGGCCGCGCCCCAGCATTTAAAACCATCACAAACGGATCCCTGTCAGCCCCAACCAAAGTGTGAGCCACCGACAAATCGAGACCTCCAACAGCCCTATTAGAAGGACCCAAAAGCATGCCCTGTTCCGAGGCCTCCCTCACCCATGGCTTCCGCAACCGGAGGGGAATTAACATTTGTGAACCCGGGGGCACGTGCACGGTCTGTGTCGCTAACGCCTGTATGGTAGCGCACGCCGTCCGAATTTCATTAGGGCTCGTCAAAAATGAAATACGGCGACCCGATGGTAGTTCAATGCAACGCTGATCAATGAGAATTTTGATGGGCATTTTTGCCAAAAAATCAGTGCCCAATAGACAGGGAACCGCCAGGGAGGACGAAACGAAGACGGGTCCCGACAATTTGATATCACCAATGCAAATGGACGCCCTAATCTGACCGATAATGCCCAACGATCCCCCGTTAGCGGCGTAAAATGGCACATCCACCGGAAGAAGCGGACGACATTGTACAGGGAGAATGTTATAAATGAGATCCGATATAATAGTCGCCGATGCCCCCGTGTCCACTAACACCCTGACCTCGACCCCATCAATAGATCCGGTAACGACGGATGAACCCGCTGAGGCAGCCACTATTCTGTGCCCCAACTCCGACCATTTAATGTCCCCCCGGTCCCGGCCGAACCCCCCTCTCCGAACCGAATCCCCGAACTCTACTCGGCTCTCCCCCGCCGCAACGCGACGACCCATACGTGTCGAGTATGCGGGCCGAGCATGTGAGGTGCCGCGACTTGCCGGGGTTTGCAGGGATGACTTGGGGCCTTGTTCGTCGTCCCGCCGAGGTCCCATGGCGCGCTGACGTGGGGCGCGGCAACCGGAGGCCACGTGGCCCCGGAGGCCGCAGTTATAGCACGTGATGACAGTCGTCGGAGATCTCGGTTGCTCCAGCTTGCGGGCCGCTCGCCTCTGCGAGCGGCCCCCCGACCTCCAGTCCCCCGGTCGTTCCGCGATGAACGCCTCCTCTCGTGGGCTGACGACTTGGGGCACGGTGACTACCGGGCCCGGAGCTGAGGCCACGGCAGCGTTGCAGACGACCCCCTGTTTACGTTGAAGGACCTCGTGCGCTTGTATGCTCGTAGCGACCCGTAAGGAAGAAATATCGGTCTCGTCGGCCGTGTTGATGGGGACCCCCAGGTCCTGCGCCAACTTGAGCAGTTGCTCCAAAACCATCGCATCTTGGCCCTCCTCGTCCATACGAGGGAACGCGGCGTCGGCGAGAGCAAGCAACGCCGTGCGGTAGGCGAGCACAGTCTCCGTGTCCGCCTTCCGTCTTGCATAAAAATGATGGCGGCACGCCGAGGGAGGACCATAGACCTTGGCCATGAGAGCCAGCGCATCCTTGAGCGTGGAGCGGTCCGACCTGCGTGCGGACGTGAAGGCCGCGAGCGCGTTGTCGTCCAGCATGGCAGGCACTGCCCGCAGTGCCGTAGCGTCGGACCAGGCGGACATCTCCTGATGCGCCAAAAACCTGCGCTGAAATTGGCTCCAATCCCCGCCTTCCGCCTTGAAGGCTGACAACGTGGGAAGGCGCTGTTGAAAGATGAAGTCGTCCTCCTCCTCGTGCTTCCTCTCCGCCGCCCCGTCGGTGTGTAAGATGGTGGCCCCAGTGGCGGGTGTCTGATGACGGTCCGCAGCGCGCGTTGGTGACGTAAGCGGGCGCGCTTGGAGAACCGCTGCCACGTGGTGATGGCCGTTCCCGCCAAAAGTCGGCGCAGATGAAATGGCGGGAATCGCCAAGTCGTTTTGGCGGGAATCTGCGGGGCGACCCTGCAGAACGTCCGCCGCCGTCCCCGCTCCTCCCGACGAGCTGATCTCCGCCAGGATGGACGCGGCGGCGAGCAGCAGCTCCGCCAGGCGGGAGTGCGCCTCGCGAAGCACGGCGTCGGTCCCCCGTCGCTCGTCCGGCGCCGTCGGCGGATCCTGCAGCGTGGGCAATTCCTCGTCCTCACCCCCCGATGCCAGCTGGCCCGAGTCGTCGAGGTTGTCCCCGCGGTCAATCCCGTGGGTCCGACGGGTCTTCCTTGTCTCCATGCTTGGAAGACCGTTTCACTTCTGACGCCAGTTGAAGTATTGGAATTGACGGCAGGAACTTCTTGACGGGTAACACACTTTTATTAAATCTTTACGTTCACAATACAACGTGTGGTCTCCTTTCTTCCGACTACACACTCCACTTAACTCGTGTAGACTTTATGGTTCTGACTACACCCAATACACTTGACTCGTGTAGACCCTATGCCTCTGGCTACACACAATACACTTGACTCGTGTAGACCCTATGCCTCTGGCTACACACAATACACTTGACTCGTGTAGACCCTATGCCTCTGGCTACACACAATACATTCGGCTCGTGTAGACTCTATGCCTCTGGCTACACACACTACACTCGCCTCTGGGTTACACAGAGTCCCGGTCCCGTTAGGACAGCGGGACTAGGTACCGCAGGGCCCTAGGTCTTCATCCCCGTCTTCATTCTTCGCTGGTTACATACTGCCCTTACGCCTGTGTGCATCCCCTTTTATAGCCCCTGCTCACGAGAGACGGAGCTGATCCGGACGTCGACGTGAGCATCGTTCCCTAGTGAACCAATCACGACGCACTCTCTCTACGATCCGTTTTCCCAGCGCGTGTTAACACTCCTCTACCAATCACACCGCGCTGCCACCCGATCACTCCCTCTCAGCGCGTCACGGGCCCACAGCCAATCAGTACCCCGTAACCCACGACCCCGCGCTGACCCCTGATCCTCCACCGTCAGCGCGCGTCACCACCTACACAGCCAATCATTACGCGCTGGCATACGATCCCTAATCCCAGCGCGTATCACCTCTACAAATGTAAGCATGATTCCTTGCAAAAGGTGTCAGTTTTGTTGCCAGAAAAAAGGGAGAAAACCCCTATTAGTATAGAAAATGTTGCTGGGCACCTGCATTCCAGGTAATGTCCGGCCAGGTGAGAGTGGTGCATGCCGGGATGCGGCCTGCTGTTGCCATGGAGATGGTTGCCAGGCGCTGGAGAACGTGGCCGCAGGAAGGACCGGGAGGTGTCGTCCAGGGTACCCAGGCAGCTGCCTGCGTCAAACGCCAGATGGCACGCTTCCTCTGGAATAGAGTTCAGAGACAAGGCAGGATTGAGTTTGATAGGGGGGGCCGGGGCTGTTATTGTTTTGCGGGGGGGCCCCACTCTGTAAATTCAACCCCTCTCTTTGTGCCGATATGTGTCCTCTCTCTGTGTGTCCTTGTGATGTCTGTCTGCTTGTATGTCTGTCTATAGTTTTCTCGTTAGATTTGTGTTGCTATTTCTTTTATGCCTGATGATGATTGCTTGTGTTGCAATCGAAACGTCGTAATATGCTATTATTTTAATTTATTATTTTATCTTTAGACGTGACTTAACCGAAAGAACCAAAGAATAATTCCTGCAGTCACGAAAGCTCCAAAATTAAGATTCAATTCCTTCCCTTGACTCTCTTATCAGAACCCATGCCCGACCCCAAATGCTTAGTCGTTATTCACCTGATTTATTAAAATTGTACATGCGAATGGATATTTTTCGAATGAATAACAATTTAAGCTTGTCAGCACATCATTGGCAGTATTAGGAGTATGACACATATAGATGTTATTGGTTTTAAAACGAAATTTCCCGTAGCGTCACAATCATACATTTCAAACAGTAATAAATCTGTTTACATATATTGTAATGAAATTTTAGAGGGCCTTCAACATTCAAGGCCACCAGCTGCGGCCCCTCGTGCCCCTGTATGAACCTGGCCCCGGTTTCAGAGGCCCTCATCCACCAGTGGATTGAGAAACTAACTCTACGTGCGCGCACATTTTTCAGTTATCTTCTTGGTTCTTTCGGTAAAGTCACGTAGAATGGAAATAATAAAATAATAAAAATAAAACATTATAAAATAATTCTCACGACGTTTCGGCCACAACGCAAGCAGCCGTCCTCAGGTGACGAACAGGTCTGTCTTATCGACAGACCTGTTCTTCATCTGAGGACGGCTGCTTGCACAGACCTGTTCTTCATCTGAGGACGGCTGCTTGCGTTGTGGCCGAAACGTCGTGAAAATGATTATATTATGTTTTATTTTTATTATTTTATTATTTCCATTCTACGTGACTTTACCGAAAGAACCAAGAAGTTGAATCCCTGCAGTCACGAAAGCTTTAAATCGAAATTTTTCAGTTACTCATGTTTTTTTACCGGGTAAGACACCACTGAGCTATGCAGCTATTTTTCAGAAGTGATTGCCCAATGAAGTGGCTTATCACGTGGACATGTATAGCAGCCAAATACTCTAAACACGTGCTGTTCATTCTAAATGCGGAGGGACCAACCGGAGACCTGGATGATAATCCACGCGGCCACGGGGAGAGAGACGCAAACTCCAAATATACAGCAACAGGCGTCAGGGTCGGGATCGCACTCACGACCTCCTGTACACCAGGCGATGGAGTTAACATCTCGCCAGCGTGAACTATTGCCACACATCTCAAGAACGTGTTGATCCTCAGGGTCCACCCACCTTTCGGCCAGAGGTCAGCAAGACCCCCAAACTCTTCCTTGGGGGTCTTTGAGGGGTATGGGGGCAGGGTGCGGAACGCGTGTTCCATGATGCGGGGGGTCGGAAGTGTTCGGGGGGGTGCAGAGCCCCCCACTGAACCCCCCGCCCGCCACTCTTCCCCACCAAGCGTTGAGGATCTCTCCCCTTGTCGAGCTGAAAGGTCTCCCGCTACATGGTTCCGCTCTTCGCTTTGTCCGTGAGCGAGCGTGCGATCGGCGTTTGATCGGTAGCCCTGGAATAAAACACAACGCAGAGTTGCCGTGATGAAAAGGCGTGATCGCTGGACTAACGGAGAGTGCTGTGGTACTTGATTGTTAAGGACTGTACTCTGGCTTTGAGCCGAACCAAACAACAACATAGCCCCAACACAAAGTCTATCTTGAGCCAAAACCGCCCCCTATAGCCACAGCAATAGCCGTATATCTAGCACAACCCCGCACCTCCGATTAGCACGGTTGGATACCTACGGTGCGAAAGCAATTCAACATACACACAATGCCTAACCCTACATTGAACCCGAACCATAGGCCTGATCCAACCCCACGTCTGGCCCTAACCCTGATGTCGAACATCAGCACCTACCCTGTCATTTACTACATCTCTAACCTTAGCCCAGGGGTGGGGAACGTCCGGCCCGCGGGCCGTATAAGGCCCCACGAAATCATTTGGTGTGGCCCTGCCAAGGCAACCGCAGGCGGGACTCGAAATTCAATAAATCCAGGAGCAAACCTTGAAAAGCAGTTGCGAGTAGCAACAACATCATCAATACCAGCTAACATCACACGCCTCGCCAAAGAGAAGCAGTTCCAGCCCATCGCATTAGGGGCGAGTTAATTAAATGTTTGACCAAATATAACAGGCAAATTTTTAAGTTGATGATTTTGTATGGCCCGCGAATGATGTTGTAAATATCCAAATGGCCCTTGGCAGAAATAAGGTTCCCCACCCCTGCCTTAGCCCGAACTAACCCGAGCATCATTCAAACCAGTCACTCCCTCGTCCTAATCCTCACATTAACCTAACCCTGCCGATGACCATCTCACACGGAATGTGCCCGAGTTTGTCAGGTCTCGAAAGCTAAGCAGGTGTTGATCCTGGATAGTGCTTGCATGGGCGACCACATGTCCGGGTTGTATACAACAGCTTTGATATCGGCTGCTACTGCGGGGATATGTTATGGACTGCCGGGGCAGTACAGAAAAGTACACCGTTGCACTTGAAATTTTAGACAAGTGGATTGTTTTATATATATGAGTGAACATTGAAAAATAATGTCTGTACGCATTTATGTTGAACTTTCTTTCGCACCGTACGTAGACAACCTATCTAATCGGAGGTGAAAGGGGTACGGTATGCCACCATATCTTGCCGTGCGGACGTTAAGCCCCATACACAGTAGTAACATGTGGTGTACTACTTTGTTTTGAGAAGTACAGCAAGTAGGTTGACGATTATTGACACACTCGCACGTGTACATGGAGAGTCACATGTTGTCAATCCACCCATCCAAGCAACAACCCAGGCTCAACGCTGCTTAGCTTCTGAGATCGGACTAGATCAGGTGCAGTACTTTGGCTTGGATGAAAGAAAGTGACGTCTCTCCACGTCTCTCCGTGTCTGTGTCTCAAGAAGAACGTACCTGCAGCTGTGTCGGGAGTCTCCGCGTGTCTGTGTCCTTATCTCCACGTGTGTCTCCTCGAGGAGAGTGAGTCTCCACAACGCGTCTTCTTCACCTTGTCTCTTGGACACCTTAATCCCCCGGTGTCTCTCCACGTGTCTCCACGTGTGTCTCGTCTCTTGTCTTCGCTTGTCTCTCGGCGTCTTCACTTTGATTCCGCCCTACCTACGCTGTGTCTCCGCATATCCCACCATCTCGCCGCGTCTCCACTGTGCTTCCCCACATCGCCTCTCACCTCTTCGTAGCCCCCATCACCTCCTCGTGTCTTGAGATGACGCAGACACAACAGGACGAACGCGCCGGCGAGTAAGTCAAGTCCGAGTTAAACTCCCCGCTTCTGTTTCAACTCCTTGTCTCTCTGTCTCCCTCTGTGCCTCCTCCATTTGTGCCTGTGGGTGTCTGTGTGTGTGAGTCTATGGGTATCTACATGAGTCCATGGTTCTCTATGCTAGTCTATGTGTGGGTGTCTGTGTGTGTGAGTCTATGGGTATCTATGTGAGTCCATGGTTCTCTATGCTGGTCTATGTGTGGGTGTCTATGTGTGGCTGTCTGTGTGTGTGAGTCTATGGGTATCTATGTGAGTCCATGGTTCTCTATGCTTAGTCTATGTGTGGCTGTCTGTGTGTGTGAGTCTATGGGTATCTATGTGAGTCCATGGTTCTCTATGATAGTCTCTGTGTGTGTGTGTCTATGTGTGGCTGTCTGTGTGTGTGAGTCTATGGGTATCCATGTGAGTCCATGGTTCTCTATGCTAGTCTATGTGTGTGTGTCTGTGTGTGGGTGTCTATGTGTGTGAGTCTATGGGTATCCATGTGAGTCCATGGTTTTCTATGCTAGTCTATGTGTGTGTGTCTATATGTGAGTGTCTGTGTGTGTGAGTCTATGGGTATCTATGTGAGTCCATGGTTCTCTATGCTGGTCTATGTGTGTGTGTCTATGTGTGGGTGTCTGTGTGTGTGAGTCTATGGGTATCTATGTGAGTCCATGGTTCTCTATGCTGGTCTATGTGTGTGTGTCTGTGTGTGGGTGTCTGTGTGTGTGAGTCTATGGGTATCTATGTGAGTCCATGGTTCTCTATGCTGGTCTATGTGTGTGTGTCTTTGTGTGTGTGTCTATGTGTGGGTGTCTATGTGTCTCTATGTGAGTCTATAGTTGTCGGTGTGAATCAATGCTTCTCTACTGTGAGTCCATGGTTATCTGCATAGTGAGTCTATGGGTGTCTATGTTTGCATCTCTGGGTGTCTATGCGTGTCCATGTTACTCTATGCGAGTAACCGCAGCCCTCTGTGCGTGTCGATGTTGCGTGTCTGTGGGTCTCTGCGCAAAGTCCGTGGATCTCTACGCATCCCGAGCGATTCGTCGCCGAGTAGACCTCGCCTCTCTCGCAGCCTGCACCCCCCCTCGCCCCCCTCCCTCTCTCTCTGCCCCACGGACTCCACCGACAGCCTGCAAACAGCAACAAAAAAACTCAAACTCTCCCAAAGCCCCCACGTGCACTACCCCCGCACCGTCCCCCATGGGGCTGCACGGTTCATGGATCAGGGTGGTGGTGGTGGGGAGGGACGCGTGGGAGTGATGTAAAGCCGGCGGGTCGCGAGAAGTGAACTAATCAATCAGAATCAGATTCTTTAAAAAATATATATATACTAGTGTAATTGCCCGTCATATGACGTGTTCATAAAATATAAATCTGATGAAAGATACTTAAAATGTTCAGATTGTATTGGATTTATTTGATCAAACATTTCTCTCTATATATATTTCACATTTTGTGTAAACTGACTATCGTCTCTGAAAAGTTTTCCGTGAGCTGAATCTAGATTCGAAGCTTTCGTGACTGCAGGAATTACTCTTTGGTTCACCATTGGAACCTCCTTTGTCAGTAGCAAAATATGATTATTGGTTTTTTACCCTTTTATCTGGCAACAAAACTGACACTTTTTTTTTCACAAAGAGTTTGCATTGACCACGATACCTGGGGTCGGAATGCAAACAAAAAACACAACTCTGATAATGTCAATTTCAAGGACAGTGCATACATGATCAGAGTTGTGTTTTTTGTTTGCATTCTGACCGCAGGTATTGTGGTCAATGCAAACATGACTCCTTGTAAAAAAAAGGTGTCAGTTTTGTTGCCAGATAAAAGGGTAAAAAAACAATCATACTCTTTGGTTATTTCGGTAAAGTCACGTCGAAAATCAAATCAAATAATAGAATACGACGTTTCGGTTGCAACACAAGCAGCCATCATCACGCAAGAATGAATGATAAAAACGCAGACACGGGAACAGCACAGGCAAGCCTATATGGGTTTGTTTACGAGTATGTGAGTCTCTCTGTGTCTCTGGGTCTTCATGTGCGTCTCTTGGCACCCTATGAACGTCTGTGGACCTACCAACATCCACGTCGCACCTCCGATTAGCACGCTTGGCGACGTACGGTGCGAAAGAAGTTCAACGTAAATCCACGTCACTCTGAATCTCAAACGACAGGACCGCGTGAGTAACACCACCGCCCGATGCAGTTATGCGCCGCTAGAATTTGAAACGCGTGATCACAAGGCACTTTCTGAAGCCCTTCACAACTCCCCGCCAGACCGACGTATGAATACGCAACAACGCATTCACGCAAAATCCACGCAATTATTACTTTCGTCAAGTTACCGGAATAAACACACGGCGATCGTCGCCAGCCGACTGCGGGGCTATGCCCATTCGTAAGCCGTGTCACCTTCTCGGGACTTGGTCCGGGACAGCTGCCAAAATTGGCGCTTGCCTTTTTCAAATGTGTTGAGATGAACGGGAGGAGACGCAATCGGCGTAGACAACGCTCCGTTGGACACAGATCGTCACCATCATCAGCCGGGATCAATCCGCTGCTGGATGAAGGCCCCCTCAAGTCGCCACCACACACACAACAACAACAAAGAACACTATGAGACATCTCCTTTACCAGTGGCAAAATATAGTAATAGGTTTTTACCCTTTCAACTGGTACAAAAACTGACACCTTTATACAAGGCATCATGGACAGTGCATATCATTATCAGAGTTGTTTATTTTTGTTTGCATTTTGACTGCTTGTGTTGTGGTTATTGCAAACATGATGCCTTGTATAAAGGTGTCAGTTTTTGTACCAGTTGAAAGGGTAAAAACCTACTACTATAACAACAAAGAAGATGCGGGGGTGGTTTGTGGATCACATAGAGATTCACGTGTGAGCCGTGGGCAGGAAGGCACAGCCTGCGGGAATCAGTACAGCAAGTAGGTTGTCGATTACTGACACCCTCGCACGTGAACATGGAGAGGCCCATGTTGTCAATCCACCCATCAAAGCAACCAGCCAGGCTCAACGCTGCTTAGCTTCTGAGATCTGACGAGTCCAGGCGCATTCTCGGTGATGTGATCCTAGGCTCGCGCGGTCGGATATTCATCGTGGCCCCTAAACGTAACGGCCATACTGCACCGATGACTCCTAACAAGAGCCAATCCATATTCTTGGGTTTTTTCGGTAAAGTCACGTAGGTAAAAAAATAAAATTAAAATTAATAAAAGTTAAATAAAAAAGTTTAATAAAAATAACGACGTTTCGGAGGCAACACAAGCCTCCGTCCTCAGGTGGAACCGTCACAGCACGCTCGCTGATACAGCTATCGTGCTATGACGGTTCCAGCTGAAGACGGAGGCTTGTGTTGCCTCCGAAACGTCGTGATTTTTATTTTATTTTTTATTTTACTTTTATTAATTTTTTTATTTTTACCTACGTGACTTTACCGAAAAAACCCAAGAATATGAATCCTTGCAGTCACGAAAGCTTCAGATCTAGGAAGAGCCAATCCAGTTTAGTCATCGTCAGTACATCACATCTGTCGTTGCCCACTGCTGCCCCTGGATCGGTGGCACAGGGATGGCGTTAGTGGCGTGGAATCTGCTAAACATTGACTGCAACCTGTTGGGGTGGCATTGCATTGCAATGAGCTCATGCACTCACTTAATGGGAATCAATCATTAACGCATTATTGCGATCTGGTGGACAAAGGGTCATTGTCTGAAAAAAAAAATATGCACCGTGCTACAATAGGCAGTAATAAGTGTGAGCGTGTGTGTGTGTGCGCGCGCATGACTGAGCTAAATAATTTTAAGGTGCCTCTGGCTCCAACTATCAAGGGTTCGAGTCCCATTGCAAACGACATTCCAGCATTTAGGTCATTCAAGATCAACCGTCTAGAGGTCATCAACGCCAGAAGTACTCTTGGGTGACCAACTATTCCCTTACGGTGGCTGTCTGAGCCTCGGGCATTCAACAACAAATCTAGCAATGTCAGGAGCTGGCTCGTTGACAAGAATGTCACTGTGGCATTAACACTGCACCCTCAGCGTCATACATGTGTGTTCAGCTTGACTGTATATAAGCCACAATAAATTGATGTGTACAGTAAATTCACAACCCGATTGCCAATCCACTGCTGGATGAGGGCCTCCCACTATACTGATCACAGCAGGTTGGGCGAGGCAGACGTTGGTGCAGAGTTGAGTTTCGTGGCTTTTGTGACATTGCCATCTGCTGCCCAACACGTAAGCCCTGCGGTTTGTTAATATGCAACGGTGGAACTAAATGAAACGATTTTATTTACCAGGTGAAGAAGCCCATTAAGATATTGGCTATTTTTTTTCAGAAGCAACCTGGCGGCCTGGCCACAAATGACAGCTCAACTGAAGTGGCGTATCATGTGTTGGCAGTGCGAACAATCACGCACAACACAAACTCAACAAACGTATTAACAGCCCTGCCCAAAAAAATGATGTAATAAGCAATTTGTGATGTTTCAGGCAACAGCCATTCTTCATCACATCTCTCCGTCATTAGACATCCTTTGCCAGTACCAAAATATAATAATAGGGGTTTCCCCCTTTTTTCTGACAAGAAAACTGAAAACTTAAAAAAAAAGTTTAATTTTTTTTTAAGGTTTAAGTTTTTTAAATCCTTTATTAAATCCTTTATATTAAATTCGCTTGCTTGCTTGCGTGCTTGCGTGCTTGCGTGCTTGCTTGCTTACGACCGTGCAAATCTTTCGGTCGTTTTTTAACCCACTTCCCGTGATCCAATCGAGCTGACATTTTCCACACAGACTCGTTGGGCGTGACAATTAATTTTCGTGAAAATTTTTTTAAAAAATTTTACAAATTAAATATTTAATTACCAATTGTTTAATACTGGCAGACAATCATCTGACCCATAGGTGGCAGCCATCTCAAGCCAGAGGACGAGATGACTCTAGCCGCCACGCATATAAAGGATTTATAGTGAAAAACTTTGTTTTTACGGGTTTACTTGTTTAAGGTTTCAGTTTTCTTGCCAGAAAAAAGGGGAAAATCCCTATTATAATAACATCTCCCCGCTAAAATGTTTCTTTACTACGAAGAAGAGTTATTACCTGGAATGTCGGCAATTTTTTGTTCTACTCTAGGGTAATGTTATTGACGAATGTGTTAAGATACTGTTTAGGCATCTGAAGAGGTAATCGTTAATGCCTGTCCAAGGCAAACCAGTTAACCCATCGCAATTTTTATTTCCTAGGTCACTCTGATGATCTAGGTTCTGCTCTGTCTGTTTGTCTCCATCCCTGTTTTTATGTTTTGTCTTTCTTTGAAATTTTCACACTTAAATTCTAACTTAGCAATCTTTGAAATACGTAATCGACCAGGCTATGCGTTAATTGTGTGTTGACCGACTCTCTGTGCCGTTTTACATAACATTTCGATACTTTGCTGGGTTATTTAATTTTAGTGTGTCTCTTTCTCCCTCTAAGCCTGCTCACTCCTTTTTGTTGTACTCAATGACATGTAAATTTTGTCTCTAACCCCTCCCTCTCGCTGCCTCCGCCCCCCTCTGTCTATTTAAGGCCACCCCACAGAGACGATCACCCCTCTCTGTACCTGTGTTGCCCGCTCTGTGTATCTTGGTGATATCTGTCTGCTTATATGTCTGTCTATAATTGTTTCTGGTTAGATTTTATGTCGCTATTTCATTATACCTGATGATGATTGCTTGTGTTGCAATCGAAACGTCGTATGCTATTATTTAATTTATTATTCTTTATACGTGACTTTACCGAAAGAACCATAGAATAAGAGCTCCGGGTTACTACCCAAGGCCCATCAATGCGGTCCACGAAGGCCGAGGGGTTGGATATGAGAAAAGTCGGATGACGCTGTCGGCGACGTCGTGGGCTTGAGGCGACGCAATCGGGTAGCGGTGTTCACAAAGTGGCGACGTATTTGCGAAACGACGTAAAACGGGGTGACGTAAATCGGAGCATTACTTTACTCGTGGCGAGAC